CTAGAGTGAATGAGCTAAAAACAGTCTTGTGAGATATGGCAAGCAATGAAATAAATACAGGTAAAGTCTGAAGCAGTTAAGATCTTTATCGAGGTACTGTCTGAAAGTGGAGATTTGGGCTCCATTTCATGTGTTCTTCTGTATCTGTTGCATGATTTTACAGGGTTCTGTTCTTGGTATTAGTCTAGAAAGATGTTTGTTTCAGTAGGAGCCTGGAGGCACTGTTGCATGCATACCACAGCTTGTATTGATGTCTTGTTTTGAGGTGTTTACTCATTACTTGGACTCATTACTTGGATCCAGAATAAGAAACCTCAGAAATGTGCTCTTCTTCCCCTTAGGCAGAAGTTGGCAACCAAACAAGAAGGTTCCATGGTCTTCCTGTTCAGTTGTTGGGATGAGGGGAACAAGGGATCATGAAAGGCAAAAAGATCCTTTGTGCATTTCAAGATATGCAAGCACTCCGTCTGGGAAGTGTGAAGGTCAAGTTGTAAACAAGTTCAGATTTCACATTTGCAATGTTCTTACTTGGAACCATGTCAGTGTATGTTTACACTTGGGGAGGGGAACCTAGCACAGCAGTCTAGTTAAGGCAAGGGAAAAAGTGCTTATAAAAGAAGAAGAGCAATGAAGGATAATGCCTGCAGGATAACAAACATATAGCCAGGTTGGCCCAGTAGAATAAAATGTGTATGATTAATAAACTGATATATTTTTTGGGAATCCACAAGTGGGAAGAGTGTTAGCAGTATTTCTTGTGAAATATGTGAACTTTTGAGTTGCACAGACTGTCATGGCATGGATAATAGCATGAAAAAGTGAGCAAGGGGATGAGGCTAAAACATCCTGGGATCTTCAGCCTCTGCAAACAAGAGGACTGTAGACTAATTAAAAGGTACTGACCAGGTAATCGTCTAAAATATTACAAATATTTATAACTTGCATTCTTGCTCCATTGGGCACAAGAGCTCTGGATAAAAATTAAATTAGCAATCATCCTTACATGGTCAGACTAACAACTGAGTTATGATCTTAACTTTGAGTCAACAGGCTTAAGACTAGTAAAGCCTTAATACAGACCTGGCCAAAAAATATGCCTTTGTTTCTTTTTTCTAATCTAGTATCACTTTTCAAATTGCACATGCAGTTGTGATTGGCATGATGACACGCCCACAAAAAAATTAAGAGGCCGTGGAGCCAGTTCGTCATTGTGCTCAGATGAAGGCACCTTTTTTTAATTGCTGGCGTAATGCAGATTGGCCCCTGTCCTGGATATTCCAGGCTAGCTTGATCTTGGCAGCTAAGGAGAGTCAGCCCTGGTTAGTACTTGGATGACAAACTTCCAAGGAAGTCTAGGGTTGCTACGCAGAGGCCATAATGACAAACCACCTCTGAAAATTTCTTGCCTTGAAAACCTTATGGGATCACCATAAGCCAGCAGTGACTTGATGGCAATAATATAATTTATATATCTAATTCTCAACAGCCCCTTCTGCATGTGGATACTTATTTCCACAAACAGAGGGCACACTCTCCCCAAACAGGTTTTTCTACCAACTCAGGTGACACCAGGGGTATGCAGAAAAATCCAAACAGTAAAAAAACACCCACCCTCAGGGAGGGTTGAATTCCCCCCCAATACCTTTTGAAATGGCTGCCACAGGGATCTACTCCAGGACCCACCCCATGGACAG